GGTACCAGGGAATTGTCTTAAACTTTTTACTTTTGATTTTATCATCTTTTACGTTAAATTAATATTAAGATTAAGGTTATTCACTTCAAAAGACGATAACTTTCAAACAAACAATTCCCACCAACACCCCTGGTATTAGACAGTAATCCACATTTTCAACAACAATTAGTTGGATTTTCGTAACGATCAGTTGCTGAGATATACCTGAAACCAATTCACTTATCTCGTCAATCTGGAAAGCTGTTAAAACAGCCAAAAACGTTCACAGGTTGGGTTAACAGAGCTTATTAGTCAAATGCTTAGCTGAGAAATTTTTCTGTTATCGGTTATACGATCAGGTGGAACTATTGCTCATTGTCATCTAAAAATATTTTGTTTGGGTGCTTTGAAATGCCAGAAAATTGTGCTTTTGATACATTTTCCGATCAAGCGTGAGACTTGTAAGGGTGCCGCCATTTTGATTGACAGCTCTGGAGAGGGCCTAAGGTGTCAAGGATATGTAAAAGGAAGCGATAACAAAGGTGATTACGAGTAACCGCAATTAAAAGGTGTGAAGTTGCATTTGAATGTTTCAATGGGTCTTTCTCCGAAACCGAGTAATTTTACCTGGAAATCCTTCTCTGTTATCGGCCAAGTGATCAGATGAAATTAAGTGTCTGTCGAGAGCAAGTGGCCGTCACTTGTGTTAATACGAGTTTTATACAGGTAATGCTGCAGGATTGTATTCACGACACTTGGTGATTGTCAGGTCAATGGAAAAATCCAGATATTGCTTCAGAGCGGTATCTCTCGAAATACCATCTCTGCTGCATAAAAATCAGCAGTAAAAGTGGCTGAGGCAAGGTTTTTGAATAAAATGACAGAGTGTGGGTGATTTTTGGAACCACGAGCGTGTTGATTGTAAAAAAATATCTATTCATATCTTTTGAAGCATGTTAAAATTGCGTCGGCATTTAACTGTGGATTGCCTCTAATACCATATCATTTACCGTACTTTAGGCCAACATGAAGTTATTAATTATTTTATGAATAAGTTTGATTTTCTTTCTTTCCTCTGGAAATGCATTTTTAACACGAACTTTTCTCTTCCCCATAACGTACTTGACTTCTTCACTGCTTAGATGATGTAAGACCTATTACCGCACATATAATCGGCTTATAACTTATTAACTATGCTTCGCCCCCTCATGGCAATGGCCCTTAGCAACAGAGGCGTGGTTTAGTCGTCAGCCTGACTGGGGCGCGTTGTCGGTTGAAAAACTCATCAAAAGACACATTTTGAGGTGCAAATTAAAAAAAAAAAAAAAAAAAATATATATATATATATATATATATATATATATATATATATATATTAAATCCAACGTCAGATAATTTTTTAATTAATATAAACACAAAAAAAACTCAAAAACATGATTTTAAGTGTAGTTTACCCTACTACTGGCCTTAAGGCATGGAATGATAATGTGCAGTACTAGAAGAATATATTTGCATTTGGTTGAATTTTTCTGAAAAATGAAATCCAAGCAGAGGCATCCGTATGGGCTTTTTTGTTAAGATATATATATATATATATATATATATAGAGAGAGAGAGAGAGACNCAGCAACCCTCATATTTTTTATGTACTGATACACAGTGAATAGGAATGTTTGATCTAACTAGTGAAAATATTGAGAAATAAGTAGAGAAATGTACGGAGAAATACCTGCCAGATTGTATCATCTATGGCACCATTCTCTCGATTGTATTTCTGTGTTCCATTAGCAATGTTGATATTTTTGCCTTTGAATTCATCTTGATTTGCTTCTTCTCTGTGGTGAACTTGAACAGGTTGAAAAGGGAGAACCTGGGCTAGGTGTTGGCTGCCTAAAAAATTGCACAATTATGTGATAAAAGTTGAGTCAATTTGATTTTATATGAATGTCTATTTAATACATAAATCCTTTTGATTACCATCCGCTTAAATAAGTCAGCTGTCTTTTGGATTGCTATCTCGCCAACATATTCTATTCAAAGTAGAACATGTTGGCGAGATAGTAGTCCAAAACACATCTACGTAATTCAGTATTCTTGAAGATTTAAGTTTGAATTTTTCAGACATATTCTAACTTTCTTAAGATAATATTTTTTTCATCTCAAATTCCATGCACTTTCCATTAACCATCGATTGTTTGAAACATATCTTATAATACTTCTCCCAATTTCATCAATAGTTGTTTTAAACTAGACATAATCAATGCTTGTATTATTTTAACCAAAGAGTTACAAAGGGTTAAAGAAATATACTTACCCCTCCAATACAACAAGAACAATATTGCAGAGCACGGAGTTATTACCAGTAAAATGACAAGGACCTTTTTCCATGCCATCATAATAAGTATCTTATCACCAGGGATGATCTGTCACAGTGCTTATTCTTAAGTGACTGCTTCTCTAACCGATGGATGCTCTCACTGAACAATCGCTCACTTATGCTCAAGTAAACCTTTCACTCACACGATCAATCCCACATCAATTGATCTAAAACTTCACGTAAGTGTTTGCGACAGAAACCAAGTCAACCACAAGACTAAGTTAACGTAACGCTGCTTTGTTCAACAATATGAAAAAATACTAGCCTTTGCTTTTACTATATATTTATGCCTTTTTGTAGCGTATGCATAAACACATGGAGGTGATATACCAGTACATTATGCATACTTCATTCTCATATGCGGCACGACCGATTCATTTTCATATATTCATTCTCTTCAATGCGGCACAACTGATGAGTCTACACAAAGGATATATATATATATATATATATATATATAATTAAAAATAAATAAATAAACAAAAGACATGCAATAACCCCGACTCCGATTTTCACGGGCATATCCAGAAGGTATGCCCGATCGTCAGGAGGTTTATTAATTATAAGAAAGTACAAATGCTCCGTACTGTTGAGCACTCTGTTCCACACTTACGCTTGTTATATATATATATATATATATATATATATATTCTATTCGGTATATAATTATAATTCGGTATAAAATTAATAGTGTTTAAAACTGCAATTAAGATAATTGTATTTATGTAGCAAATGGTTTGTTTTAGTGGTGGTATTAACTTTTTGGTAATACATCAACGTTTTGTTTGGGTCTTGTGTCTGCACATTTTGACCTTAAGAAGTTGACCAAGGCAAGGTGATAACAGGGTTAAGGAATGTCTTAGCTGCTGTGTATCTAGGCACACACATTTATATTTTATGAAAGATGTTTTGGGGACTAATTCTAGCGAGCTGCATTCAGTGAGAAGTCATTCAGCTTTGTAGCTGCGGAGATATTTACCCGCAGTTTTATCAGCTACACTGTATTATCACTTACGTTTCTTTATTGTTATTTGTACACTGGTTATATTACCAGTCATCACTTTTTGTGGTTTCAAGCTTTGGGGATGGCTATTTGTTACTTGGTGACTTTATTTTCTTCGGATAATATTCAGTTTTCCCGCAGCCACCAGTTTTACACCCCATTTCCATAGATTAGATCGACCTACTTTAGATTGATCTAACTCCCTGGGGGTTCACGCTAAATAACTGTCAGCCGGGCGGACACGAAAGTTAATTACCTCCTTACAGCTTGTAGTAGGCGGGACGGACATTTAAGTCAGATTATCTGAAAGTAATCTAGTGAGACTCCCCGCGGGGATAGATCGATCTAAAATCTATGGGAATAGAGCCTTGGTATTCAAGATTCAGCGACGGCTGTTGACGGCTATTTGTTACTTGGTGACTTTATTTTCTTCGGACAATATTCAGTTTTCCCCAGTCACCAGTTTTTGTTATTCAAGTTTCGGCGCCGGCTGTTTCCTTTTATTGGGTGACTTCAAGTCTTGGATCACACACTGGCCAGTATTTATTTATTGTCTTCATTTTCCCCCCTTATTCATGTGTTCTTATCAGTAGATTTATAATTTGTTGTGTGATGCAACAACAGTTGTTAGCTATTTTGTTTAGGTGTCACTTCATCATGTTATTCTTGATTTTATTTCTTTTGTGTGCATCTATTTTATTTATGTTTATATTCCTATCGGGCCAGGAGTTTTGCAGTTTTCATATTTCCTATTTCCTGGCTGTCACTGACATGCCATAATCTATTCATATCCCCATTTTCCGATTGTCTCCGTGTCCGCATTACCAGGTGAAGTATTATTAGGGGTTTCTGGTCGACTAGGTAATATGTATTTTTGGAGTTGTTATGCTCTTTGTTCTGGGTGTACTTCCCAGGTTTTTAACTGTTTGCCTAGTAGTGAGAACCCTGTGGTGGTATCTGGTATACTAGGTTCTGGGTGTATTTCCCAGGTGTTTAACTGTTTGCCTAGTAGTAAGAACCATGAGGTGTTATCTGGTATACTAGGTTCTGGGTGTATTTCCCAGGTGTTTAACTGTTTGCCTAGTAGTGAGAACCCTGTAGTGGTATCTGGTATACTAGGTTCTGGGTGTAGTTCCCAGGTGTTTAACTGTTTGCCTAGTAGTGAGAACCCTGAGGTGGTATCTGGTATACTAGGTTTATATTTTGTGGGAGCTGTTATGCCCCTATTCTGGGTAGTCACCTAGCTGTATGTTCGTTTGCCTAGTCGGTTTTACCAGATATCCCTGTTTTTACGTGCACGGCTAAGCTGAGGCTGTTGCCTGCATGGATTTTCTCTGGCGGCAGACTAGGAGATGTTTTTTGCACTTTTAATATCAATATGGCTCGTGCCATATCTACCCAAGCTATTCGTTGGGTTTATGCCGGGTATATATGTTCTCTGTACAAGTGTATATTTTATTCATATTACTTATTCCGTTTACTTGAATTACCTGGCCTGGGAAATTTTATTACTGAATTGTCTTATATATAAATGCAACTGCCTTTGCGCGGACTTCTCAGTGTCCTTTGTCTTTATGGTACCATGCCTTCCAAGACCCCTCCCGGGAGGAGTACCGTAGGCGATCCAGGATGTCGGTTGTCTCCAATGCGCGCTCATTATCCAGCAAATGACGATTGGCTCTTACATCCACTGCTCCTGGTGGAAAGAAGCCGAGTCACACCGCCACACACTTCTTCTGAGACGGAATCAACCTCTACTTCACTTGTTATCGACTGCGATTTGTTGGCACAGCGTATTATTGCTCATCAAAACTGCTCAGAGGCACAGAAATGCCGAGCGCTTCTCCTTCTCCCGACTCCTCCTTGCAAGAGACTAACGTTCAGCAGCAGATACCCTGTACCCAGTATCAGCAGTCTGTTCGACACTGTAAACACACGGTGTGAGCTTCTCTCACATCATATGGCCTTTTATTTTCATTTGCGCCAACTTTTTGCTCCTATAGCTGTTGTGATTTCTCATATTTTTCTTAATTAATCCTGGTTACACTCATCCTTCGTGTTCTTTGACGTCACCAATTGGTGTGCACATGCGCTCATTAGTTAAACCGCCGCCATATTTGTAGACAAACAAGCATCAGTCGTTCGTTGATTTTCTGTTTATTTGTTACTGTTTTACATTGTTGTTATAGTTGATTGTTTAGTGGACGTTGTTGTTATGTCGAGCTTGTACAGGGATTCTCTGGAATCGGATGTACAGCGCCGCTATGACGAGAAAATTAGGGATATCGGCGGATTGGATCCATATTGCATTGCAAAGAAAGACCTAGACAAAGACAAGAAATCCTGGCCTCATGTAACCACCGTTGATCTAGTGGACTTTTTGATATTTAGGAAGTCTTACTATACAACAGATGAACTCCGAAGCTACAAATCTCTGGAGGCATATAAACTTTTCCAGGACGGATGGATCAAGGAAATCCTGCACAAAGAAATCAACTCATTTCATCTCCTCAAAGCTAAGGTAAGCAAAACTGTCCATATGTTAACCTAGTAAAAGTATGTAAACGGATTTTATTGGTCTGAATAGGTGGTTGAATAATGGTTTGTCACATGCAGTACAGACTAGTAGTCTTGCATTTTATGTAACACTGACAAAATTCTTGTTAGAGAACCAAGAACTTGACACAGAAAATGAAATTTTCTTTATTTCTCACTTTTGTTAGCAATCACCTCCAACTTAAGAATATCATTAGCAAAAATAACCTTTGCTGGGTTGGATGATCATTTAGACAAATTACATAGCCTTCATGGAAAGCAAGCATGATGTATTTAAACTATTTATTAATATGGAAGACTTAAATGTATACTTTCAAAGGTGTTTTGCATATATTCAAGCACTCGGATTAATAAATTATGATATCCCAAATTTAAGGCTTAATTTAGATTTTTAGTTGAATGAAATACTTTTTGATATTTTAGGTCTATCATTCAATGCGTATCAGGGAGAAACCGTTGGAGCCCTGGGTGATTGTTAGCAACAAAGGGGACATAAGGAGTGGTCACTGCACCTGCATGGCTGGACTGGGGGAAGCCTGTAGCCATATAGCCACTTTGTTGTTTGCAGCAGAAACTTGGACGAAAATCAGACAAGAGGCATCAGTTACAGATGTGCCTGCATACTGGATGATGCCGTCATCAACTCAGGTACAGTGTGAAATAGAAAATTATGTGAATATATGTATATATATATATATATATAAATGGATTTTTGATATGTAGGATATCAAGCAATGCTTTTGATATGAGTTTTACAAGTATTGTTTAGATTAAACACACAGCAAAACTTATTCATAATTAATCTGTACATGTATAAGTAATTTTGGATATAATCTTGTTATGATCAATGTTTGGATATGTAAAAGAAATAACACACTAATTCAATATAACAAAAATATTTAGAGAAACTTGTCACTTCTTTATATTTTTTGTTTTAATTCTTTATTTTTACTTTTAGTTGGAGCACCCGCACAAACGGATAAGGAATATAGACTTTCAGTCAGCGTCCAAAAAAAGGAAAACCAGCGAAACTTGCACAAATGAGCCCAACATGAACAACTTCTCTTCTCCAACTAAACAGGAAATGGCAAGTGCATACCAGCGCCTGCACCGAAATGGAAAAGGGGCTGCAGTTTTAGCAACCACAGAAGGATATGCTCAACACTTTGAGCCCAAGACCGTTACAGGAGACTGGCCCATTGACATGAAAACTGTCCATAAAGCAGATCTCCTAGATGCCGAATTAGATGATGTGTTGACACATGTAGATAGCGTAGACATTAGTGTCACTTCAGCTCAAGCTGCATTCGTAGAGGCAGAGACACGCAACCAGGCCAGGTCTAAAAAGTGGCAGAAATACAGGGTTGGCCGCATCACAGCCTCCAAAACTTATCAAGTGACTCACACCAGCACTGAAACACCATCAAAGTCGATTTACAAGTCAATCTGCCAGCCATTGCAGGTCAGCAGTGCAGCACTGGAGTGGGGAAAGAAGAAGGAGCCGGTAGCTAAGAAGGATTATCTCAGTTTGGCACGGAATAACCACCAGGGTTTTTCAATGCATGAAAGTGGTCTTTTGCTGAACCCGGACTATCCAGAATTTGGAGCGTCTCCAGACGGCCTCATCAACTGTTCTTGCTGCGGCTCTGGGGTGTTAGAAATTAAATGCCCCTACAACATGAGGGACAGCGGTACTATTGAAATGCCTTATTTGGTAAATGGAAAATTGAAAAGGGAATCTGCATATTATTATCAAGTACAGACACAGTTGTTCATGGCAGACCGCCAGTATTGTGATTTTTTTGTATGGAGCCCTTTTGCCCATCATCTGGAAAGAATTTACCAAGATAAAGAACTGTGGTCCATCATCTGTCATAAGGGGCAGGAATTTCATAGAAATGTAATTATGCCAGAGTTGGTATGTGGGTTTTTTTCCCGCAGGATATCCACCAAGGAATTGCCCACATATTGTGTTTGTGGTGGTGTCGATGATGGCCGTCGAATGATAGCCTGTGACGATGACAGTTGTGACATTGTTTGGTACCACATGTCATGTATTAATATGAAAAGGGCCCCTGGAAAGGGGAAGAAATGGTATTGCAGCAAATGCACTTAGGAATCCCAAATAAAATTGTCATTATTTTCCTAACTCTGAATGTATAACAGTATCAGTCTCAACATGGGTGTCTCATGTTGTTGTGATGAAGGGTGCAATAATTATTGTTTCTAAGGTTGCCGTAAAAGAGTGGTGCTATGTTTAATTTTTGTGCCTTTTTGTATATAAGATGACCATTTTCCCAATGTTTTTTTTTCTTATTCCAAATATATAACAGTATCAGAATACAGTATCGGTCTCAACATGGGTGTCTCATGTTGTTGTGATGAAGGGTGCAATAATTATTGTTTCTAAGGTTGCCATAAAAGAGTGGTGCTATATTTAATTTTTGTGCCTTTTTGTATATAAGGTGACCATTTTCCCAATGTTTTTTTTTTTCTTATTCCAAATATATAACAGTATCAGAATACAGTATCAGTCTCAACATGGGTGTCTCATGTTGTTGTGATGAAGGGTGCAATAATTATTGTTTCTAAGGTTGCCGTAAAAGAGTGGTGCTATATTTAATTTTTGTGCCTTTTTGTATATAAGATGACCATTTTCCCATTTTTTTTTTTCTTATTCCAAATATATAACAGTATCAGAATACAGTATCAGTCTCAACATGGGTGTCTCATGTTGTTGTGATGAAGGGTGCAATAATTATTGTTTCTAAGGTTGCCGTAAAAGAGTGGTGCTATGTTTAATTTTTGTGCCTTTTTGTATATAAGATGACCATTTTCCCAATGTTTTTTTTTCTTATTCCAAATATATAACAGTATCAGAATACAGTATCGGTCTCAACATGGGTGTCTCATGTTGTTGTGATGAAGGGTGCAATAATTATTGTTTCTAAGGTTGCCATAAAAGAGTGGTGCTATATTTAATTTTTGTGCCTTTTTGTATATAAGGTGACCATTTTCCCAATGTTTTTTTTTTTCTTATTCCAAATATATAACAGTATCAGAATACAGTATCAGTCTCAACATGGGTGTCTCATGTTGTTGTGATGAAGGGTGCAATAATTATTGTTTCTAAGGTTGCCGTAAAAGAGTGGTGCTATATTTAATTTTTGTGCCTTTTTGTATATAAGATGACCATTTTCCCAATGTTTTTTTTCTTATTCCAAATATATAACAGTATCAGAATACAGTATCAGTCTCAACATGGGTGTCTCATGATGTTGTGATGAAGGGTACCATAATTGTTTCTGAGGTTGCCATAAAGGAATGGTGCTAACTTTTATATGGTGCCTTTTTGTATACAAGATGTCCATTTTTTCCAGTATGTTTTTTTCGAATTCTGATTGTATAAGAGGATCAGAATGTAGTCTCATGTCATTGTGATGAAGGGTGCAATAAATGTTTCATTTATATCTATTTTGAAAAGTGACTGGGCTTCATATTTTTAAAAAAAAAGCTATCTGAAAGCTGACCGTCCTTAAAAGTAAACTATTCATAGAAAACTGCTTGCAATATCACTGGAGGCTTAATTAGACTTGAGGCATATTGCAATTTATTACATCTTTATTGATCAATATGTAAGATAACTTCCAACAGATATATCACTCAAACTGTTAACACACCATAATTTAAACCGACCTCCCCTCCCCCCCCCCCCAAAAAAAAAAAAAAAAAAAAAAAAAAAACTTCTGTGAGCAAATTACTTGCAACAGCAGCATCATTATCAATATCCTATGCAGATCATTACTGGCATGTTATAGCTCATCCAGATTGTTCACACTTGATTTTACTTTTCTCTGTATAACCACTTGAATGGCTTTATTCACTTACTATCTCGCATATGATTATACAAAATACAATTGTAACAAAAGTATGTTTCAACAAAACCGATCAGGTATACAGTAAACATGTACCTCCGCATGAATGCCTGGGATTGTCTTAACCTAACTTACATTCATACTTAATTGCATTTGAAACAAATATATTTTGTAAAACACTGCTGAATCATATAATTGTCTACTAATCAAAGGGCACCACTGATGGACACAGGTTTGTGAGGAAACAGCAGACATGTACAATCTTATCAATAGTCGGAACAGTTTCTCCATTTCTAAGTTTCAAGAAGTCAATTGGTATTGTACCATCTAAGATGCCAAATTTGCGACATACAAGACCAATTACTCTTTCCACGTGAATACGAACATTTGCAATTTTGCGTGTTCCTTCTACATCCATGGGGTGTAGCTGAGACTTTCCTTTGGTAAAAGCTGGAATGGCCAATTCAGCTTGATAGAAGTTAACACTTTCTTCAATAGTAAAACCTCGATCTACCATTACTATGTCACCTGGCAAAAGATTCTCCAAAATTCCAGATTCTTCAGTGATGTGCTTATCTGATGTGCGCCCACCCCAACCCTCAGAAATAAAAGTAATGACACCCTGCGGGGCAATGCCAATCAGATACTTTACTGAGTGGTAGTGCTTATAGTTTGAATATGTGTACACTTTGCTGAGGGGGGCACTGGGTTTTTCTATTTTCAGCTCAAAACAATCCAAAATTACTGCAACTTTCGTACCAAATTCTTTCCTGAACGACATTTGCATTGATATTCTTAAACTTTCTCTTTCTGGCCATTTCACAAAAAAACTTAATCTTATATACAAAAGATCAAGGACAGAATGAAAACATTTTTGAACTGTAGATAATGATACATTAAGTTGGTAAGCTATGTCTTGAAAGCAATAATTCAACCTGAGCTTAATCATGCATAACATGAACTGATTTTCCTTTGAAAGACATTTTGAAGAATTACTCATCTGGTATTCAATCAAGTCAAATGCCACTTTTAAAGTTTCTAAATCAGGCAGTCCTGTATAGAAAGATACCTTTTTGTCATCATTTTCAAAAGCAGAAAAACTATAAAGACCCTCTCTTGAAAATGCATGCTTTTTGAAAGCGCTGGCCTCTAATACACGTGCCTTGTTGTCATTTTCAATTTTAGCAATATATTCTGATGTCAACTCTGTTTGAGTCCCTGCCTCAGATGTAGATATGAAACTGTCAGTTTGAGTCCCTCTTTCACAAGTAGTAAACACTGGTTCCTCGGGTGCTTCCAGACTGTCTGTTATCTGTGAGGCATGTGAAATCATTGCACTGTCATGTTCATGGATGATGTTTGCAGCAGCAAGGCGAGGGTTTTTAAGTGTCAATAGTGATGAGATGGCATCTGACACTTTCCTTTTACCTTCACGTTGCTTAGCACGATGGTACCTTGCATTTGATGGCTCTGGCTTTGTACTTGAGTGACCCAAAGCAATTGTTGGCAGCCATGATGGACTATTCCTGTCGTGAAGATATGCATTTTCACCTATAAATAACAACAAATACAACTGCAGACAGATGAACTATGAACCATATATGCACTGATAACACATTAGCATAATTAACAGTAAATCTACAAAGCCATTTTTGAAGAGATATTACTGCTTCCATACATAAATTGAAGCAGGGTGAGAAAAAATGAATGAACAAGTTTAAATCATCTTCAGTGTATAACCTATTTTGCTTCAGTGATCAGATGGTATGTTACAATGAAAAATTGAAGTTTTTAGCTAAAGACCTACCTCCAACAAAGTGTTTTGAACAAACGCGTGTTCTATCCCATTTCTCCTCTGAGGTAATATCTTTCCGACGGATAGCTGCTTTCCATAGTCGTCTACGTTCTTCCGATAATTTCTTTGTTTCTTCCCCTTGACCTAAAATAACTTTCGGTACCTTAAAATATCTAACATCCCTTTCTCTATTGCTGCGGTTGGAGCAACCAACAATACCACAAATGACTGGCATTCTAACTTTAAAACGAACTGAAAGAGCCTCGTGCTTTTGATGCTGTCTACAAAAATGGCGGAACGCAATTTATTTACAGTCCCGCACTCACGGAATGACGTCACGGAAATACGAAGGATTAACATACTTTATTATTTTTATATTATGGCACTTATATAGTTTGGGGGATGTTTGATTATCTCCCCGGTTTTGTAACTTTGTATCTTATTAGTTTTCGTCATTTTCCTATCACACGTTAGACTTGTAAGCGTGCCGTCATTTTCATTGACAGCTCTGGAGAGGGCCCTATCCTAGTGATGCCCAGTCGGGTGTCAAGGATATGTAGAAAGAAGCGCTTACAAAGGCGATTACGTTTAACCGCAGTTAAGAGGGGTGAAGATGCATTTGAACGTTTCAGTGGGTCTTCCTCGGCAATCGAGTAATTTTACCTCGGAGATTCCTTCTTTGTTATCGGCCAAGTGATCAGATGAAACTGTCTGTCGAGAGCAAGTGGCCGTCACTTGTGTTAATACGAGTTTTTTACAGGTAACGCTGCAGGATTAGGCTACTGTGGATTGCCTCTAATACCAGATCATTCACCGTACTTTAGGCCAATATGAAGTTATTAATTATTTTATGAATAGGTTTGATTTTCTTTCTTTCCTCTGGAAATGCATTTTTAACACGAACTTTTCTCTTCCCCATAACGTACTTGACTTCTTCACTGCTTAACTGATGTAAGACTTATGACCTATTACCGCACATATAATCGGCTTATAACTTATTAACTATGCTCCGCCCCCTCATGGCAATGGCCCTTAGCAACAGAGGCGTGGTTTAGTCGTCAGCCTGACTGGGGCGCGTTGTCGGTTGAAAAACTCATCAAAAGACACATTTTGCGGTGCAAATTCAAATATATATATATATATATATATATATATATATATATATATATATATATATATATTAAATCCAACGTCAGATAATTTTTTAATTAATATAAACACACAAAAAACTCAAAAACATGATTTTAAGCGTAGTTTACCCTACTACTGGCCTTAAGGCATGGAATGATAATGTGCAGTACTAGAAGAATATATTTGCATTTGGTTGAATTTTTCTGAAAAATGAAATCCAAGCAGAGGCATCCGTATGGGCTTTTTTGTTAAGATATATATATATAGAGAGAGAGAGAGAGAGAGAGAGAGAGAGAGAGCCAGATACACTTATGCCATTTCCCATTTCCTGTACAGAAATAACTGGTAAGCAATGTTGATGTTTTCCTCAAAACTCTTGAAGAGTAATCATTACTTTTAGATGCAGGTAAAATTCAAAAATGGCCAAGGTCCCCTTTTTGTTATCATGCGTTTTTGATAGTAACAAAGGAATCTGCCATAAGAACAATGTGAAAGTTTTGATATGGCTGAAGTATATATTGATGATTCTACTGAGTGTACTGACAAATTACTCCAGTATACTTACAAAATTCAAAGAGGAAAATAAACTTTTAAGTGAAAATAAAATTTCCATAGATTTTGCAGAGTGCGGGTCTTTATAGAGGAACTAACTCAATGGCTAAAAAAGAAAACAAATATGAAAAAGGCAAATTAATTAAGTTCCAACATTTGACAATGATCTGTGTTGTAAAGTATATCTGGATTATTTTTAGGCTTAAATGGACATGACAACTGTCTGTGTAGTATAGCACTTGATATTTAAAGATCTAGTTTATATCCAAAATAACTTGCATCTTCCTTGTAAATATCCCAGACTTGCCTTGCCAATCTTCGGTCAATCCCTCTGAAGTATTTTTGTATTAGCGTCTGGTTGCTAGGAATTTCAACCTTGCGATGGGATTGCGGGAATTGACTTATCAAGTTTTCAGCATCAAGAAGTTGAAACAGGTTTTTTGCATCAGTTAGTAGAGTTTCGTGATGAACAATGATGTCGTATTCAACATAGCAGGGTTTACAGGTGTCTGTTAAACTCCAGTGGTTGTTGATTGGCCCTTTATCGACTATATACTGAAGAAAATCTGAAAATAAAATATTTCTGCTTTTTGTAATGTTCCCATTGTAATTGCGGTTTATATAAGCTTTCACTCTAGGACCTATTTGACGTTCCCGCACTTGTTCTTTGTAAGCTGATACAATTCGCTCTAATGGATGACGTACAACCATTACCTTAAGGTAATTTCTTAAGCGTGCCCTNTGTAATAACGTATTAAACATAACTGGGTAAAGAGAACAGCATGTCTGACTAAAAAAAATTCAGAGAAAGTATCAGGATTGAGAATTACAAGAATGCATGTAGCCTACCACTATAACAGACATGGAGAATGTAATAAAATCAAAGACTTGGTAATTTATCAACACACATTGATAATCAATTATTAAAAATGAAAATAAATGAATATTATGAAAACAACAAAAGGAATAAAACCACTTACTGTTTTCATCCTCTCGTTTTTCCTGTACATTTACTTTGTACTCTGTCTCTGTGGCTATCTTCACACCACACCACATCCTCCCCTTTGTAGTTGCGATTTAATATTCGTTGTTTAGGGTGGTCGGCTCATGTCTTAGTTAAACTAACTCTTATCAAAATACGCGATCCAGGACTGGGCCCCTGGGGACGTGTGTTTTGACAGCGCCCCTGGTTAAAAGCTTTGAGATTGCTTTTGGGACGTTAGAGTTAAGATTGAAGTATAAAAGTCCCTTAGATGCGTTATCAATTGTTTGTGAAGAGATGACAACGGTGATAGAACGTGTCCGTCTTATAATTCTGATTCGAATTATGTTAGATAACTATTTATTGCCGTATTCAATGTTATCGGCTGTTGTTTCACTTCAGTATGATGTGAGAGAGGTGTCTCGCCTCTGTATGTGTTTGACCTGAAGGGCCGACTGTACGAGATAAACACAGTGCGGCTGGGGAAACGAAAAAAAAAGGGAGGTTGGACTGGTTGCAGAAAGCGCTTTTCGGTCAACAAGTGACCTTCATCAGCTGCAGAGTCCTGAAAAAAAAGAGGGGGGGGGGACTGTGCTTAAACAAAGAAGTGAGAAACCAAAACACTTGGTTTAAGCCTTCATCACCGCGGTTGGAGAGAGGTTACATAAAAGGTTAAATAGCTTATTGGCCACCATGCACCATACTGACCTCAGCTCATGAGTCATCTCTCGACCATCGTGTTTCAATGGTACTTAATGTGAAAACTGTGTTAATTACTGGTAGCAATCCCCATACAAATACAACCGAATCCGGCTGTCATCTAAAGCAGGCCTGTCCTTCTCTGTCAAAGCCCAGAACTTATAAACAAAATAACCGTTTTTGATTGCGGCGATTTACTTATTTTCATATGAAAAATGAATTTCTATGAAGAAATCAGTGTATTGCGATAAGATACATTTTCATTAGCAGAAACCGTGTAAAAGTGACACACGATGCACGTTTAATGTGCATTGATTCTTTACTTACGGGGTTTAACCGCCCCCTTCTCTTCGTCACCCACTATGAGCAAGATATCATCATCAATAGAAAAGTACTCCTGTTATATACGTATTACGGCACATCATACTGATAATGTTTGCTATATATCAACATATTTATCGCTGCTTAACCTTGCAAAATAACAATGGTCTTATAGTTATTCCGTTTTTTCAAGCAAGGTTTTTTATGGCAGCTAGTTTAGAACTTATGGTTTACTAATGGTTCTAGACATGGTCTATCGAGCGAAATCTTATCGTGGGATGTACTACGATCAGTTGTGGGGCAATACTTATTCATCAAATAAAAAAAATTTTCTAATGCATCTCCAGTCAACATTGGTATTAAAATATTTTTGTTTTCGTCTTTTAGCTGGATGAAATATTGAAGGTGGCCGTGACGTACATTGTTGTTAGTCGGGCTTTGTTGAAATTTCCCCGGCCACCAGCGTATAGAGTGACACATCTTTATCCTTTTTTGTTTGTTCTCCGCTCAGTGTTGATTAAATATTAGAACGTTTAACGGTCACCCGCTGGTTCTTCCAACTCCCTTATTAATTAAAGATTGGTTGCACCACTGCACACGCTGATTCAGTGCATAAGCACTACGTCCATCAGTGTAATAAACTTAAGATCTATTTAAACTGCCGCAGTCTAAATCGCGATCGTCTAAGGAATCTTTATAAAAACCTTATTAATTGAAAAAAAAAAAAATTAAAAATACACTGACTGTGTATCATGATTTCAGTGAAATGATTTTTACTCCGGAGACACCTAATTATAACGTATCCTATAAAATCCAGATTGTAAGCGCAAGTGTGATTAACGATTTGTATAGTACAAGCGACAAGTTAAATGCTAGTCAGTTATGTTGCTGCAACCAGAGTTGCATTATTCAAGGCCGCAGCCAAACTTTTAATAATCAAACAGCATGGCTTTTGACCAAGTCTTATTCATCATAATTCATTGCAATTTTATGGAAATAATGATCATGCTTTAAATATAGACTTTGATATCGCTTCCAAGCAATCTATATTAATTTAAAATGGTTTTTGAGACAACTGTGAATTGTACTGGATTTGATAGATCAAATACAACCTATAGGAATAAATCAGCAAAGAGAAATGAAATGATGAATAACAAAATATGATAAGCCCTCGGGGGAAGCTTCCTCAGGAGAGATGTTCTTATGATCGGGATGATCACGCCTTTCGACAGTATATANAATAATATGGTTTTCCACTTATCATGTTATCGGTGCTGCATATATGCTGAAAAAAGTGAAAAAACAGCATAACTACCCTAAAAATGGCCCGATCATGCTGATTTTCGAACTCGACCTGCGTATTATGAATATTCATCAATTCTGTAAGTTTCAAACCAAAAGAAAAAACGGTTTTCCACTTATCGTGTTATCGGTTAAAGTGCACGGCGACGACGGCGACGGCGACGACAGACGCAGGTGATGACTATATGTACAGACACATCTGTGTCTGTACATAAAAAGGGAGGTTGGACTGGTTGCAGAAAGCGCTTTTCGGTCAACAAGTGACCTTCATCAGCTGCAGAGTCCTGAAAAAAAGAGGGGGG